TTCTTAAGAATCCTTCGGATTCCATTCCCAGAACACCATTCCCAGGCCACATTTTGAATACCCGGAACCAACTGTAGGCCACTTCGTGTTCTTCGTGTTCCCAGAACACCACTCCCAGGCCACATTTTGAATGCCCGGAGCCAACTGTAGGCCACTTCGTGTTCTTCGTGTTCCCAGAGCACCACTCCCAGGCCACATTTTGAATGCCCGGAGCCAACTGTAGGCCTTTTCGTGTTCTTCGTGTTCCCAGAACACCATTCCCAGGCCACATGTTGAATGCCCGGAGCCAACTGTAGGCCACTTCGTGTTCTTCGTGTTCCCAGAACACCACTCCTGTATTATATTTTGATTGCCTGGAGCCAACTGTAGGCCACTTCGTGTTCTTCGTGTTCCCAGAACACAAGTCCTGTGCCATGTTTTGACTGCCCGAGCTGAGGCAGGCTGAGGCCGAGGCTGATGCTGAGGCTGAGGCTGAGGCACGCCGAGGCAGGCTGAGACTGAGGCTGAGGCAGGCTGAGGCTGAGGCAGGCTGAGGCTGAGGCTGACGCAGGCTCAGGCCGAGGCAGGCTGAGGCTGAGGCTGAGGCAGGCTGAGGCTGAGGCAGGCTCAGGCTGAGGCAGGCTGAGGCTGAGGCTGAGGCTGAGGCTGATGCAGGCTGAGGCTGAGAGGCTGACGCTGAGGCAGAGGCAGGCTGAGGCTGAGGCTGAGGCCGAGGCAGGCTGAGGCTGAGGCTGAGGCAAGCCGAGGCAGGCTGAGGCTGAGGCTGAAGCTGAGGCAGGCTGAGGCTGAGGCTGAGGCTGTGGCTGAGGCTGAGGCTGTGGCTGAGGCTGAGGCAGGCTGAGGCTGAGGCTGCAGGCTGAGGCTGAGGCAGGCTGAGGCAGGCTGAGGCTAAGGCTGAAGGCAGGCTGAGGCTGAGGCCGAGGCAAGCCTGAGGCTGGCAGGCTGAGGCTGAGGCTGAGGCTGAGGCTGAGGCTGAGGCTGAGGCTGCAGGCTGAGGCTGAGGCTGAGGCTGAGGCAGGCTGAGGCTGAGGCTGAGGCTGAGGCTGAGGCAGGCTCAGGCCGAGACAGGCTGAGGCTGAGACAGAGGCTGAGGCTGAGGATGAGGCCGAGGCAGGCTGAGGCTGAGACAAGGTGAGGCTGAATGGGGGGGGAAGGGGGGAGGAGGGGAGGCTGAGGCAGGCTGCAGGCTGAGGCCGAGGCAGGCTGAGGCTGAGGCTGAGGCAAGCCGAGGCAGGCTGAGGCTGAGGCTGAGGCTGAGGCTGAGGCAGGCTGAGGCTGAGGCAGGCTGAGGCTGAGGCTGACGCAGGCTGAGGCCGAGGCAGGCTGAGGCTGAGGCTGAGGCAGGCTGAGGCTGAGGCCGAGGCAGGCTGAGGCTGACGCTGAGGCAAGCCGAGGCAGGCTGAGGCTGAGGCTGAAACTGAGGCAGGCTGAGGCATCCGTAGGAATCCATAGGAATCCTTAGGAATCCTTAGGAATCCCTAGGAATCCTTAGGAATCCGTAGGCATCCTTAGGAATCCGTAGGCATAGTGAAGCATCCTCAGGAATCCTTCGGAATCCTTAAGATTCCCGAGGAATCCTTAGGAATCCCTAGGAACCCCTAGGAATCAGGATTCCTGAGGATTCCTAAGGTTTCCTAAGAATTCCTATGGCTTCCTGAGGATTCCTAAGGATGCCTAAGGATACCTTAGGAATCCCTAGGAATCCTTAGGATTCCATTGGATCCTAGGGCCGTTGCCACTGCGACTGTCATTGCGAATGCGCCTGCGACTGCGAGAACAGCAGACTTCTACAACTGGATGCTCACCTGAATCTTCAGGGGAATGCCTCCAGACATGCTTTATACACGTCGCTGTTAGGTTGCTTTGCCGGGATCCTTAGAAAACGAGAATGTAGAAGCCGCCCCCCCCCCTTGAACGAAGGATTGCAAAAAACGAAGGATTGCAAACAAAAAAAAAAAATGCAAAAAAACCCTGGATGAAGGATTGCAAAAAAACGAAGGATTGCCAACAAAAACCCTTGGGTGAAGGATTGCAAAAAAACGAAGGGTTTTTTGTTGCAATCCTTGGTTTTTTTTTGTTGCAATCCTTCAATCCTTCGTCTTTTTGCAAAGCCCTCCGAGGAGCGCCGCCGTCCTCTCAGAAGCCGACCCCCCCTCGCGCCACTCCCGCTGCCGGCACCGCCGGAGCGAGGTGGGCGGGCGGGCGGGCGAAGGTAATTACGGGGGGGGAGGAGAGCGCTCCCCGCCTCCCCTCCTCCTCGGAGGAGCAGGAGGGGGAGGAGGAGGAGGAGGAGGAGGAGGAGGAGGGAGGAGGGAGGAGGGAGGAGGAGGAGGAGGAGGAGGAGGAAGAGGAGGAGGAGGAAGAGGGAGGAGGAGGGAGGGAGGAGGAGGAGGAGGAGGAGGAGGAGGGCCGCCTCCCTCCTGCTCCCCTCCTCGGCCTCCTCGCTCCCGCTCCCCTTCCACCGTCCGCCTCCTCCCCGCCTCCCCTCCTGCTCCGTCCCCCCCCCCCCCGCCTCGGAGCGGGGGCCAGGGGGGCAGGGGGAGCAGGAGGGAGGAGCCCTGAGAGCTGGGCGCTGCGAACCTGGCGCGCCTGGCGCAGTCGCCCATGTTCGGGCCCCGAGGTCAGCGCAGACCGATGAGGTTTGAGACACGGCACAAAGAGGTTGGATCTTGGGCTCTGGTCGCAATTTCGGCGATGCTGCCATTCGATGAGCGCCGTCGGACCTCATGAGAGGGGAGGAAGACGGAGGAGGGACGCAGGCAAGCAGGCATAATGAGAGGAGGAATGGAGCTGGAGGCCCAGGAGGGAGGAGGATGGGAGCGGGAGAGGAGGGGATGGGGGGAGGATGGGGAGGGAGGTGGAAGGAGGAGAGAGGGAGGGGGGCAGGAGAGGGGGAGGGTAAGGGGACGTTTCACTTGGACCGTAGTGGGCTTACGCCGATGGCATACCCTATAGTTCGAGCAGCAAGTGGTTCGCAAGCGCCCGGGCAGGGCCTACACATCTCTACCAGCGCGGGCGGAGCCCAGCGGCACGACACGACAACCGAGCAACGGACGGACTTGCGAACGACAGGGCTGCGCGAGGGAGGGGAGGGCCCGCGGGGGTCGCCCGCGCCAGGTCGGCGCAGTCGAGGAAGGCCTTCAAATGCCGCGCCATGCGATGTTCTCTGGCATGGCTCGTGCGCGGCGGAGCGACTCCGCTTCCGGCATTAGCTGCTCAAGGCGGGCCCACCTGCCACGCCGCTGGTGACTGCAGCGGCACATGAGCCCGTGGGCGTTCCAGGACGCCACCCGGAGGCCGAAGGTATCGGAGGTGGCTAGCGCATCGCCCAACAACCAAGGGCACCGGCGCCCTTTAGGATGACAACCATGAAGGTGTCCACAGCGGAGGGCGCAGGCGCAGACTGAGGCGACGCTGTGCACTCGCCTTGTCAATATCCCGGGTGTCCCCCGCTGGGTCCCAAAAGGGCTTGCTCGGCTCATAGAAGCTTTGGGACACGAGCTCGACGACAGGCACGGAAATGAGGCTGATAAGGCCTTGCGAGCGATTCGCAGACCAGGCGCCCAGCGGGTGCATGTCGGCCAGGAGCGCCAGCGTCCGCTTCGTGTGCATCGCGCTCCAGCCCTGCTTGGCCGATGTGTCCACCCCGACTTAGAGCGGCCACTGCTGGCCCGCAGGCGTGGTGGCGGACAAGGAGCGCCATTGCCCGCCGGGCCGGCGCAGCACTCTGAAGAGGGAAACGGCGCGGAGGGCTGCCGCAGGGCCGCCGCGGATGTGGATGCAGAAGCGTTTGGCGGGGCCCGCGCTGCCCAACACATCAATGTGCTCCTCGTCCACACCCGAGTCGGAGATCCACTCTCAGAGGCCCTTTCTAACCACATCGATGACTTAAGAACCACATCCCATAAATAATTTCGAGCACCCGGGAAAGTATCGAAAGAGTGTCGGACGAGAGTCTCCCAGGGCCCGGCACGTGAAAACCCTCGGGTTTCGGGGGTATTTTCCGGTGCTCGAAATTCCTTCGGGTGATCAATGCCAAAGTAGGTTGGAACATCATAAGGCTAAGAACTGGTGCGAGCCTGCAGGAAACATATACGGGTCGGCGTCACGGTCGTACTATGACAGGCGAGGTCCGCGGCCGAGAACTAGCGCTCAGCAATGGCCAGGGACGCCGTGATGTCGTCCACGCTCACGCTCTCCTTGAGGCGTTCGTTCTCCTCTTCCGTGAGGTCTCGCTCGCCACGGGGCCTCTGGACGTCAGTGTCGTGGGCACCGAGCCGCTTGAAGGCGGAGTCGAAGAACTTGGACCTGGTTGTGGGCATCTCTTCCTGCGCCCGTGCCATGTTGCGCCGGCGCAGCCGGCCCCAACTGGGCGGCCGTGGAGCCCGTGTGGGATCTGACCGCCTGGGACAGCGCGTTGCGCATCTCCTCAGAGAGGGCGTCCGCCTGGCCGGGGCGAGGGGCCGAGCCTCCAGCGGGCGGCGCAGCTGGCGGCGGCGCGAACCTGCGTGGCGCAGGTGGGCATCGCCTTCTGCGCTGCGGCCACTGCGGCGCCGGGCGTAGCCGAAGAGCCCGCCGCGTCTGAGGCACGTCCGCCTGGGGCGTGGCCACCGCAGGGGCGCCCTGTCCACGCCGACACGGGCCTTGGTTATGGAAGGGCAGGGCACCGTGATCAGCCAAGGCGTCGCAAGTGGCCTCCGCTGCTGCGGCGCGGGCGCGGCGATCCAGACGGCGCTGCCTGGCGCGCGCGGTGCCTGTCCTTGTCGGTGCGGCTGCGAGAAGGAGGCTCATCAGAAGCGCCGCTGTGAGAGTCCATGGTGGCGAGATGGGCAAGAACTGTTACAAGTAGCTCCGGCCCCTTTGGCCTTGAGCCAAGATAGCTTGAGCCAAAATGGATACGGAAGGAATGGATGAGGAGGAAGAGCAGCAGCAGCAGCAGCACCACCACCACCACCAGTAGCAGCAGCAACAGCTGCAGGAGCAGCAGTAGGAGCGTCCACCGCGAGAGGGCGTCGGTCGTCGTAGCCGCCGCGGTCGCAGCTCCTCCGCGTCACCACCTCCGCGCTCGTGCGCTCTCGGAGCGCCTGTTCGGTTGGGGGCAGCATGGGTAAACACCGAATCGGGAAATTGGATCGAATCGGAATGTGCGTCTGATTGAAGTCGAAACCGAATCGGATCGGCTGCGCCAGGATGCACAACAGCGCCATGCAAGCATCGGGCCGCATCGGACCGCTCGAACAGAGGCATCGAATCGAATCGAGCCAGCCAGAGCCGATACCGATTCGGATCGATCTGATCGACATGAACCCTGAGGTGGGGGGATGGGCAAGGTTTGTATCCACTGCATCTCGGATTTTCGGATCCCCTTCCCTAGAAGCCCGAGACGCGATGGATATGGGCGAATTGTGGTTTATGGAGAAGCCTGATGTTGATTTATATCCTCTGCGTCTCTTGTTGTTTCGCGTCAGTTCTGCGAGAATCCAAGACGCCATGGATACGTATGTTACTCGTGCCCAGTTCTATTTGGCTGCTGCAACATCGCTGCGAATGCATGGCGTTCTTGTGCGGAGCCTTGCCAACAGTCCTAGTCGGGAAACCCATTGAAAAGGCCACGTATGGAGTCGGACCAAGAGTCTCCGCGTTTGGGGGTCGCGCTAACTGTCCTATTAAAGAGTCCTCACAGGAGCGCTACAAGGAAGTCTAATTGGATCCTCTTTTTATACGAGTCTCGCTAAGAATTCTAGCAGGAAGGCCCAGCATCAAGGAACGGGTCAAAGCAAACGTTTTGGTAAGAGTATTTGTGGGAGCCCCCTTTGAAGCCCAAATCTATCTCTGTCTCTCTCTCTCTCTGTCCCTCAATGTTTGTCTTCGTGTAAAAAGGAAAACGTGGAAAACTTTCGGAAAGCAAACTGCAAGCAACATCACAGGACCGGTCTACCGGGTCTGCCGATGCCGCTACTCCGCAGACCGCTCCAGGGGTGCGTTCTGGCCAGAAGCTCGAGGTGCATCCAGCCGCCGGGGCGACGAGGGAAGCGCAGCGGCATCGGTGGATGTTCCTGTTCCCACCTCCCCCGCCCCCCCGGGAGCTCAGGGCAAGAGGGGCCTTGCGCTTCTCGCGCTGCTGCTTCTTCCAGGACTCCCGCCGCAGCTGCAGCTTCGACTGGTGGGCGAGGTGGCAGAACTTGCACTCCAGGCCTGGGCCCGGCGCGGGGCGGCCCGTGGCGGGCCGCCGCTGCCGCGCACGGGGCCGAGGACGAGGCCGAGGACGAGGCCGAGGACGAGGCCGAGGACGAGGCCGAGGACGACGAGGACGACGAGGACTCGAGGACTCGAGGACGAGGACTCGAGAACTCGAGGAGCGGGAAGGGGGAGGTGGACGAACAAACGCTGAGGAGGGGTCCGAGGCGGGCGGGCCCGGGTGGTCGAACCAACGTGGGGACGCGGCGGGCCGAGGGGAGGAAGCGCGAGCACCAGCGGGAGAAGCAGGAGGAGCTCCCTCTCACCCCCTTCAGGTCACTGCCTCGTGGATCTCGTTCTCATCGAGCCTGGGCGTGGATACCACTCATATGCAGCCCCATACATCTCGCTAGCACTATGGAGCCACACGCGCTGGCAGATGCAACGATCCGTTGCCGGCGCGGGGGCCTGGCCGTTGGACATATTGAGCCAACGAGCAGGGCAGAAGCAGGAGAAAGCGGACGAGGAGGAGTGGCAGTCGTCGAAGCAGGCCTCGCAATAAGACAGCCGAGGGCGTCGGGGGGAGGCGTGATGTTGTGGCAGCTGGAGAGAACATGGAGGACGAGATGGCCATCATCATCAGTGGATGCGGGGACGGATTGCCCCGCTCTGCGAGTAATTGGACACGAAGCTGGCGAAGATTCTGCCGCTGCTCGAGGAGCTCGACCGCACGGATGCAGCTCCAGCGACGGTGCGGACGATGACGAGGACAGCGACCGCGCCCTGGAGGAGGCCAAACTTGGAGGCGGCTGGGGGGTCTGAACTGCTTGGGACCCCAAGTGATCTGTTCAGAGGGGGGTGTGAAGCCCAATCTGGCCAAAATCGGCCCCCCAGACCCCCTCTCGTGTACTTTTTCACGCCAGATCAACGTGTCACTGTCCTGGGGCCCGCAAACGGCCCCTGGATACCGAACAAAAGCAAAACACCTTCCCGAACCTAGAAACTCTAACCTGCCCGCAATTCCTGCTGGCCGGAACCAGTGCTGGGCCACCTCAGACCCCCAGACAGCTCCAAGGGGAAACCAAGCCCCTCCCGAATGCGCCGTGGAAGAAGGGCCCAGCCTCGGGCTCGAGGTCCGGTGCGGAAGCAGCAGCGGCGAGCAAAGATTCCGATGCAGAGATGCAGCAGACGCCGTCGACCCCGCCACTGCACACACGCGGCTGGATCCACGCGGAACATCCAGAGCTGTGGATGCCACGACAATGGACACCCTAACAGTTCTATCATTGAGTTAGAGATATGTTTAAAATGTTTGAGACATGCTCAAACAATGCTTCCTGTCCATGGCTCGTCCTCCACAAATCCAGAGGCAACGCGCTGGATACAACTGTTCATCGGAGCGGCCTGGCACCGAGCCGCGGTCGGGGCAACCGGGAGGCACTGCGGGGCCGAGCTGGGCACTGGCAGGGGTCGGAGGGGCGCGAAAGGGGGGCGAGGGCGCCGCGGGCGGCGAAGCGCGTTCGGAGCACGATGTCCTGGAGCGTGAGTGCCAGTCCTCCTCCTCCTCCTCCTCCTCCTCCTCCTCCTCCTCCTCCTCCTCTCCTCCTCCCAGGCCTGCGGGGCGGTTCACACACACACACACACTCACACACACACACACATACACACTCGGAAGCCCGGCGTGCCCGACCGTAGGAGGCCGAGCGCTGAAAAGACGTGCGGCTCCACGTCCAGCCAGCTTCTGCCAAGAACGGCCGCGTCGTGTGCAGCAAGCTTCCGGGCATCACACGGCAGAACACGGTCATGCGACATACTGGCAGCGCGGATCCGCATGTCTCTGCTAGGCAACAGCGGGCGGAGCGACATGCGATCGACAATTCTCGAAGAATTGGACGACGCTCCTCCACCTCCTCCTCCTCATGCTCCTCCTCCGGCTCTTTCTCCTCCTCCTCCTCCTCCTCCTTCTCGCCTGCTCCTCCTCCTCCTCCTCCTCCTCCTCCACCACCTCCTCCACCACCTCCTTCTCCTCCTTCAGGACAACTCCCTGGACCTCCCCAGGGGCGCGCTGCAACTAGAAACTCGGGGCAGAATCCCGTCGTCGCGCCGCCCCCCCCCCTCTCCCACCTGAGGATGCCCAGAAAATGCAAACGTACCCGAATCTTCCAACCTTCTCCTCTCCCTCCTCCTCCTCCTCCTCCTCCTCCTCCTCCTCCTATTCCTGCTCCTCCTCCTCCTCCTCCTCTTCCTCCTCCTCCTTCGACGACGACGACTCGACGACGACGACGACGACGACGACGACGACGACGACGACGAAGGCGGCGACGGCGACGACGGCGACAACGACCTCCACAACGGCGCCAGCGACGAGGGCAGCCGAGGGCCTCTATTGCATCCGCGTCGCGTGAAGCAGTAGAACGTGCAGGGCTGGGGTTCGCGCGGCGTCGGGCGTCGCGTCAAGAAGAGGACGCACAGGAGAGGGGTGCTTGTGCGTGCGAGTGCGAGGGTAAGATATGCTTCGGCGAGGTCAGGAAAGCTCGATTAGCGCGTCGCGACGTCGGCCCCAGCGATACGCTATGCCCTGCGAGTGCACAGCGTGTCGCTCCGCTCCGCGGGGCGCGAGGTCGGAAAACGCTCGGAGCATCGACGCTCGGGCAGCGTGCCGCTCCAAATCGTGGTGGGCCAGCATCAGCGGCGCAAAACGCCATCCAGAAGGTCCCGACCGCACATCCCTGCGGGGATCCGTCGGACGAATGGCGCGCCGTGGGGCGATGTGCGCGCGCAGCCTCGGCAGGGTCCAGCCTGCACCGGCCAATGTGGCGCCGCCCGCGCCTCCTCTAAAGGCATGGCGGCATCAAGTCGGGAGACGGGGGATCAGGGCAGAATTGGGCGACGGAGCAGCGACGGCAACGGCGACAGCGACGGCAGAAGTGGCGGCGACGGCAACGGGCGGCGCCGCTCGAGTGCTCGAGTCGCACGCTGCTCGAGGAGGCGCTGCGGAGCCGCCCCCCTCTGCAGTCCGCCACTTGTGCCTGCGGAGGGGGAAAGGGGGGGGGGAGGAGGGGGTGGACGCGGGGGAGGTGTAGGAAACATGGGAAGGGGGTCCTCCGCCTCCGAACTGTGCGAGCCATGAGGCTTGGCGCTGTCCTCCTCCTCCTCCTCCTCCTCCTCCTCCTCCGCCTCCGCTCCCTTCCTCCCGCGCACGAGCGGTGTCCTCTCCTCTCCTCCCGCGCACTGGGCCGTCAACCCTCGTCATTCCACATCTGCCCCTTCTCGCATCCCCAAGTACTGCTCCTCTTTCACTGGCGCGCGGGCGCCACTCGCTTGCGGACGGCCCCGGCACCTTCGAGATAAGCTGCCCTCGGCCCACTGCCGTCACCCTGACAGCGCGCACCGCGCTGCAGCTTCCTCCTCAGAGCTGGCCCCCCTGAACGTCGCGCCCGCGGTTGCTCGAAAATCATCTCGCGAGAAAAACAAAATCACATCGTGTAAAACAATTGCCATATTCAAATCCAAGTGCTTGGCGACGCCCCGACACTGCGCGAGCTCTTTGAGGATGATCGCCACGTCGTTCATCAGCCTGGCCAGCGTGCTGCATTGTGGCCGGGTGCAAGTTCGCCGCAACCACACTCTCGCAGCGCCTGCCCGCCTACTCTTTGACCGCCCGTAGATGCTCGCGCCATCCGTCGGCAACTTTCCAAGCGTGAGCCCCGCCCGAGATATAGGAGCGGTTGCGAGGCAGCTTCCGCTCCAACTTCCACCGCCGCACGCGAGCTGGGCCCGCGCGATCGACCGCCCCATCGGTCCGTGAAAACCAACTCGGCCCCTGTGAGAACTGCGGCCGATGCTGCCCTGAGACCGCGTTGAGAGAGCACCCTACGGCAGGTTCGTGTCGTGCCGACCCCAGCGTTGGTTTTTGACACCGCAGGGATCGTTCAACCTTGAACGATCGGCCGCTGCCGCAACGTCCGATCGTTCAACATCGATCGATTCTGGGTCGCCGGCGGCGTTCAAACTTGAACGCCCGCGCTGGGGTCGCCGCTGGTCGACACGACGCAAACCTACCGTAGACGCCCACTTCGGCGCCGCCCGCCAGCACTTTGGACGTGGAAAGTGGGCGCACCCCACGGGCGCTTCCGCCACGGAGCCTGCCCGGTGACCATCCACCGCCGGGCCCGCGCGCTCGCGCCGCTCAAAAACGAGACTGGGACTGGCGACTGCGGTCAGATGTTCGAGCTGGTCTCCACCTCCACCCGCGCCCATCCCGAAATCGTTAAAAAATAATCTGGGGACGATTTTTCTATCATTTCTGGATTCGGCGCCCAAGATGTCGGCGCCGACGCGCGGCCGACGGTCCTGCCGAGCTCGCTCTCGTCGCCAGTCGGCCCCTCTGCGCGCCGAGAACGCCCCTCGACGGACGACGACCACTCTCCCCCCCCGCCGCCGCGGCGCTGCGCTCCGATCCCCCGTGGCAACCCAATCGACGCCCAGGAACTCGGCAGCCGAACAACACTGAAGGGGCCCTGGGACACACAAATAAATACACACAAATAAGTAGATTCCCAATATTTTCTCATATTTTCTAGGTTTCTGTCTTCCCCCCACTTCCTATATTTACACATATTCTCTGAGGAATTGACGATTCATTGTGTATGTGTCTTTTTCCCCTCCTGAAGCACTGCAGGGCGGCGGCTTAAAGTGTTGAATTTCGCACGCCTCGGCCATCCGAAGCGCAGACGTGCGTCTACATTGGCCGCGCCTCCGGGCGCCCCCCCCAGCGCGCGCGGCCTGCCGCCGGGAGAGCCCGTTCGAATGCGGCCCGCGCGAGGAAGGGGGCTCCCGCGAGCGCGGCGCTGGCGCGAACTTACCAGCCTCGAACGGATCCCGATCCCTAAGATTGACACGCCAAAAGGCGATGACAATCTCCGGGACTCGCCCTCAAAAAAAAAGGGAACTCCTAAGATTGCCATCGTGATGAGGAGGTGCCCAGCATAGGGACAGGGATATGGTTCCAGGCTGGCAACGAACTGACACCGCAACGCGTCCGCGCGAGCCGCCGTGCTCCGACGCCCCAGCCCTCGCCAGTGGCCGCGGCGCCACGCGTCCCCCACCTGCCCTTTTTGGAGGGGCCCCAGGACACACAAATAAATACACACAAATAAAAAGGATCCCATATATTTTCCAATATTTTCTTGGTTTCTGCCTCCCCCCCCCACACTTCCCATATTTTCCTATATTTTCCTGGGGATCGACGATTAATTGTGTCTGTGTGTTTTTTCCCTCTCCAGACTTTTAGGCGTCAGCAGCGCGATCTTCGACACAATGGCGCCCCTGCGCCGCCGACGCCTCGGCCGGCGGCTCCTGCGACGAGCAGTCAAACTTAGAAGGCCCGCACCTGTGCCATTGCCCGCGCCGCAGTAACCTTTTGCACATGAGGCCGCTTCACCAGCAGGCGGCAGCGCCATGCCTCTGGAACGAATCGCGCAACCTACCCGTCGCAACTCCCTTTCGGCCCTTACCTGCTGCGGCCGTGCTTGTCCCCGCGAGTGGCCCCCTGGCTGTTGACCTAGCCGTGGATGCTTCCGACACCCAGCAACTACTTGCCATGCCGACAAATCCTCGCGCCGCAGCCTCGATCTTCATCGCCGAACATCAGGAGCGCGCTCGCGCGACAGACCGCGAAACATTGTGAAAGCACAATTCCAGCTGACTCCAATGATCCGCCACCGTGATCTCCACGTCGCCCCCGCTGCAAGAACGCAGAAAGAATTGTAAACGCAACGCCGATTATCGCGGGCTCGATCCAAAGCTCGAGCACAAATATCATGAATGGGTTGGGGACTGAGCGGTCGCCCATATATCCCTCGATCGCGCGCGCTAGCTGTTCGCGCCCAGGATGAGCCAGGTGGTGAGCCACAAGCGCCTTGCACCACCATCGCCAGACAATGGGATTTTGAAACTGCTCGCCACGGACATGACAAATCCATCTGGGCGCGACCATATACACATTACTCTTGAGCTCCACTCTTGGGTCAATCGAACTAGTCTCATCGCACATCGCTTGCTTCGAACCAGTTGGAGCAACTTTTTCTGAAATGTGATCGCGCCCTTGCCAGTGCCCTAATCCCAGGGCCGCCGGGAACCAACAACGCTCACTATCATCATTGCGATGCATGGAAGCAGCCACTACTTCGCCCAACTAAAAGGGCTTGACGAAGTGCCTAGGCTGCTCGCTCGCCGCTTGAAGAGCGCGTTGGCCACCTTCCGTACCGCGCCATCTCCCACAATTAGCCGAATCAAGCATGGCCATTCGGCCAAGATGCAAAGGCATAGCGGAAATTACAACAAACAGACACGCGATCCACTGGAGAAACTGGAGCTGCAGCCCCCTGCGGCAGCTGCTGCACCCTCAGTTGCCGCTGCCTCACGCGACTCGGTGCCGGCACCTTCCGACGAAGCCGCAGGCTTCGGCAAGACGCTGGGTAGGCCCTTGACCTGCTTGACCTTCTCGAATACATCCTCTCTGAAACCCCGCAAGGTTTGAGCAACGCTTCCACCGCCTCGTCCGCGAAACCTGTCCCAGAAAGCATGCCCGACTGCGCCTCGCTGCCGCCGTTGCCGTCCACTGGCGGACCACAAGTGCGCGATGCGAACCCATGGCGTTGCGCCTCGAACTCCAAAAGGCACTGCCTGAACTCGGCCACGTGCGTCTCCTCGTCGGCACTCTCTTCTTGCAAGCGTCAAATATCCAGCTGCCTCCCTTCCAACTTCATATCTGATTTGGCAAGATTGCCCTCCATACCCGCACATTGCTTAGACAATTTAGCGGTATGTAGCCCGAGAGGTTTGTTAGCACGCCGCTTCGAGTACAGAGACTCCTGGCGTTTGGGGGCACACCTCGCGTACCACACGCACCTCATAAAGTTGCTGTCCAAACAATTTCCGTACTCGTCTTGAGTCCACCGTCGACCTCATCAACCTGCTGCGGCAATCCAGCTTCAGCACTGCCTCCGTCATCGCAAGCGTGGTCCCTGCAATCGCTGTGTCCTCCTTTAGCAGCTGGCCCTTGAACGACTTCTTTGCGCAAATTTGCCAACTCAGCTGTAATTTCCGCCGCCCGCTTTTTCCGAGTACGACGCTGTTTCCATTGCGAGTGGAAGGTGGATCAATTAGAAGAAGGGGGAGACGGGGAGCCAGGCACTTTGTTGCCCTCGAGCACAATCCTTGTGTGAAGACTCGAATTATTGCATCGCATATGAATCCCAACATTGGAATGCTGCCGATCCTTCTTCGTTATCCAACTCTATTTGCAGTCTCTGCAAGTGCCAGTCAGCTCGCAGCTCCCCTGGCCGGTCTTAGACTGCACCTATCCAGCTGTTGGTTCACTGCCGTCAACCGCACGAGCACCCAAAAACAACATCGTCGCTTGCCGTTGCGTCATGGCGCAAGAGAGAAGGAAAGGGGCAGCGCACAACACAATACGGGAATAGTTGGGGCCGCCATTCTCCTGTACCAACCTCAAGGTCCTGAGCCGACGCCTCCGGACTCGAGCCAACATGGCTACGGACCTCCTCCTCCTCCTCCTCCTCCTCCTCCTCCTCCTCCTCCTCCTCCTCCCCCTCCTCCTCCTCGTCATCCAGTCTCCTCCGCCGCCTCCTCCTTCGTGTTCATCATCCGCCTCCTCGCCATGCTCATCATCAACCATCCCCTCCTCAATCCTCCGCCTTCGGATCCCCACCACGTCACAGCCCTCTGCCCCCTCGGCCCACACACTTTCCTCTCTCTCCCCCCCTACGTCTTCATCCATCCGCACCGTCACCTCCTCCCCTACCGCCCTCCACCCTTCTCCCTCCTGTCCCCTCCCACCTACATCCTCTCCTCTCTACCGCCCGGGCACCCCTCGTCCCTCCGCCCTCCCTCATTCCTCGTGCCTCCTTCGCCCTCCCTCCCACCCGCTGCCTTCTCTGCCAGCATCTTCGCTCATCTTCCCGTTCCTTCCTGCTGCCGCCCCCCCAGCGTTGTTCCTCCCCCCTCCCCCTCCGTTCCCCTCCCCCTCCTCCGCCACCTCCGCTTCCCCCTCCCCAAATGCGCTTGGCTCACACACGCATCGTTGGGCTGTGGCCGCGCCGCGCTTGTGGAGGAAACAGCCCGTGGGGCGCTCCTGGTGACGCACGGCGCGATGGACTCACAGCATGCTCCCAGTCGGGAGTGCGCCTGCTGCGGGTCACGGAGGGCCTGCTGCACGCGGCGGTGGCGAGCTTTCGGGCTCCCGCCAAGCCGCCGCCTGTGCCTGCTCCTGGCGCTGCTGCTGCCCCTGTGAGGCGGCGACGGCGACGTGGACGCCGTGGTCGTGGCGGCAGTGCTGCGGGCGACAGCGTGGCGCGCTCCTCCACCCCCTCCCCCTCTCCACCTCCCCCTCCGCCTTCTCCTCCTCCTCCTCCCCTTCCATTCCTCATCCTCCTCCTTCTCATCCCCCTCATCTTCCTCCTCCTCCTCCTCCTCCTCCTCTTCCTCCTTCTCCTCCTCTTCCTCCTCCTCCTTCCTCTCCTCCTCCTCCTCCTCCCCTCCTCCTCCTCCTCTCCTCCTCCTCCTCCTCCTCCTCCTCCTCCTCCTCCTCCCTCCTTCTCATCCTCCTCCTCCTCCTCCGCCTCCTCCTCCTCCTTCTCCCTCTCCTCCTCCTCCGCCTCCTCCTCCTCTCCTCCTCCTCCTCCTCCTCGCCTCCTCCTCCTCCTCCGCCTCCTCCTTCCTCCGCCTCCTCCTCCTCCTCCTCCTCCTTCTCCTCCTTCTCCCTCTCCTCCTCCTCCGCCCCCTCCTCCTCCTCCTCCTCCTCCTTCCTTTCCTCCTCCTCTTCTCCTCCTCCTCCTCCTCCTCTTCCTCCTCCTCATCATCAAAGCAGCATCACATTCATCATCCACCACCACCACCACAACCATCATCCATCATCATCATCATCATCATCATCATCATCATCATCAGCACAGCATCATCATCATCATCATCATCATCATCATCAGCATCATCAGCATCATCAGCATCATCATCATCATATCATCATCACATCATCATCATCATCATCATCATCATCATCATCATCATCATCATCATCATCATCATCATCATCATCATAGTCATTCATCATCATCATCATCATCATCATCATCATCATCATCATCATCATCCTATCCTCTCCTCTTCCTCCTCCTCCTCCTTCTCCTCCTCCTCCTCCTCCTCCTCCGCCTCCACCTCCTCATCATCATCATCAGCATCATCATCAGCATCATCATCATCAGCATCATCATCATCATCATCATCATCATCATCATCATCATCATCATCAGCATCAGCATCATCATCATCATCCCTATCCTCTCCTCTCCTCCTCCTCCTCCTCCTCCTCCTCCTCCTCCTCCTTCTCATTCTTCTCCTCCTCCTCCTCCAACAGGCCCAAGTCTCTGGCGTGACGCCGGAGAGGCGACTGCCGCGGCGTCGCCGAGCACGGCCGGCCCGCGAAGTCCTGGCACTCGTCCGGGTGGTCACTGCTGCCCAGGGAGTGCACGGGCCCCTGCTCGGACAGCGTGGCGTACGGGCCGGTCCCGGGCCTCGGCGGCCGGGTGCACTCGGCCCTGCAGCGGCCGGAGGGAGCGGGCCTGGGGGCGGGACTGGAGAGGAAGAGGTGCCAGGGCGAGGAGAAGGAGGGGGGGGCAGGAGAAGGAGGGAGGGGGCAGGAGGGTGAGGATGATGATGATGATGAGGAGGAGGAGGAGGAGGGAGAGGGAGGGAGGGAGGGAGGGAGGAGGGAGGGGAGGAGCGAGGAGGGGAGGGGAGGAGGGAGGAGCAGGGAGGAGGAGGGAGGAGGAGGGAGGAGGGAGGAAGGAGGGAGGAGGGAGGAGGGAGGAGGGAGGAGGGAGGAGGGAGGAGGAGGAAGGAGGAGGGAGGAGGGAGGAGGAGGAGGAGGGAGGAAGAGGAGGAGAGGAGGAGGGAGGAGGAGGAGGCGGAGGAGGAGGAGGAGGGAGGAGGAGGAAGGAGGAGGAGGAGGAGGGGGGGGGGGGGGCCAAGGGGAGGGCAGGGGAGAAGCGAGGGAGAAGGAGTGGAGGGGGGGGAGAGGGCAAAGAGGAGGGATGGGGAGGAGCGACGGGGAAGGAGTGCGGGGGGGGAGGAGGGAGGGGAGGGAGGGCAAATTGATAATGCAGAGGAGGGCTGGAGAGGGGGATGGGGTGCGGAAGGGAAGTAACGACAGGGGCAGAGGCGGGGAGGGATGAAGAGAAGAGAGGCAGGCATCGAATGAGAAACAGGTGCACCAGCAAGCACACAACAATATGTTCTGCTCCAACTGCTGGCCAGCCTGGAACCTGAGACATACGAAACAATGGAAGCCGCTGATGAGGGATAACTCGGTTTTCGGACTTCGGAGCCGCTGGAGGCAAACGTCAAGACAGCACGCACCTGCGCAGGAATCGGGCTGTAAGGGACCATCGGGTAAGGAGTCCAGAGACCCCCAGGAAGGTGAAATTCCTGACGTGTTTTTTTGTGGGGACTCCTGAGTCCTGGCTCTGGATTTCATCCAGGAGAATCCTGGGGTCGCGACCTTCAGGAAACGGTCCTGGTCCAACGCGCCCACCTTACGACCGCACGATTCCAGCCTCAGGGCCCTCTCGAGTGGCCCCAATGAACATCCAACATACCCAGCAGACCTTTGAACGGCCGTAGCGGTCATCCACATAGAGACAGATAGCCCCGAGACGTCAACGGATGCGTGATGATTCCATGGAGGTCATCACACACATATAGGCAGAGGGTTCCCGACCCGCACTGTCCAATGATTAAATGCTTGGTCCGCGCGCTTCTTGGAAACCCGTCTCGAGGGCACAGAGGTCCACGCGGCAAGGTATTGCGCAAGGAAGCGTGTCCAGGTGCATGTCTTCAACGACTTGCCAATACAAGACGCGCTCTTCGGATGGATGTTTTCTTCAAACCTGACTGGGAATGAACGGCGCGTTCCGTTACGATATGGGCGAGCTCTACTTACACCACTCGCGGGAACCCGGCCCAGAGCCCCATTCGAGCCGCTACGGCCGACATGTTGAGGATAGCCAAAGGAATGTCGACTTGCACTCTTTTGTGGAAACAAAAACGACTCGTTGGCAAACTGGCCAGAAAACCACCGGGAACAAGAATGCCTCAGACCGAGGAGGCCAAGGATAGGCGTACAAGACTCCTAGACCTTGACAACGGAGAATAATTGGAGACGGTTGTTACCCTATGCCTGGGCGGCGACGACGGTAGTTCAGTACGTTGCGCGACGGGAAACTAAGTGAAACCAACGGTAGCTCGCGCGCGGGCTCATTCACGGGCCCTGGCGCGCGCGGCCCTGAATGTTGTGGAAACGGAGAAACCGCTGCACAGAAGTAGAACGTGCTGACTAAATCGCGAGGCGGACCCACACGAGAGCCTCCGCCCGCGGTTTACAGAATGCGAAGACTGCGGGGAGCCCAAAGGAGTCCCTCGAGAAGCAGCATCAGCACGCGCTGCAGACCGCGCTGGGCTGCGGGAAGAATGCTGCTGGATGTTGGGAGCCCACGATAGACGTACGCGTCAAGTCACGCACGTGAATACGATCCCCCAGTCCGCAAAGCCAGCCTTGGGTTGTGAACTCTCGCGCGCTGCATACTTCGGTTCGATACGACGGCGCGTCGTTTCTTCGGCTCAAATGGACTGGCCCGAAGGGCACCGTCGCCGCGGCAACCCGACAGCCTGCCGTCGGCTTTGCAATTCGAAGGGTGGTGCTCGGAGGAGAATCTTGTCGCTTGCGGCGTCCCCGCCGGCGAGGGGGGGCCACCACACAACGCCGGGGCCTGCCCCCGCCGAGCCGGGCAGATGCACCGCGCGACACGCGGCCACGGCTGCAGAAAAAGGCGCAGCTGTGCGCTCACGAGGCCGAGGCGGGGGACGGGGGACCGCGAAACGGGGGCGCGGGACGAGGTGCTGCTGGGGGGGAGCCGCGAGAAGGGGCATGGGGGTGCGGGGTGCCGTGAGGCAGGGGCGGGGGTACCGTGAAGCGGGGGCGGGGTAACAGAGCAGCAGTGTAATTTACCAGCCTCGAACGTACCCCTGTCCCTAAGATTGACACGCCAAAAGGCGATGACAATCTTAGGGATTCGCCCTCAAAAAATAAGGGGATCCCTAAGATTGGCATCGTGATGAGGAGGTGCCCAGCATAGGGATAGGGATATGTTCCAGGTGGTAAGTAATGGGTCCCACGTGTCGGAGTCAGCACGCGGCGCGCGCACACGATCGCGAAGCGGCAGGATGCACCCGACGCCGACCCCAGACCCCTCCGGTCACGAACAAAAAACCTGACAGAACTCTTTCACTGTTTCCGGCCTCGTTGGGGGCCCTTGGGCATATCAGGACCGACAACAAAATCCGAGCCCTGGGAATTGGTCGAAACCTCTGGCGGTCGACGTCATGGACAAATCATGACGGCGGGGATCAGCGTCGCGCTTTCTAGGCCACCCAAACTTCGCACACATCTCCCCGGGGTGTGGCCCAAGAAGGCCCAAGGAGGGACCCAGAACGGCCCAAGAGGGCCCAAAGGCGGCCCAAGCCGCTTCCGAGACGGCCAAAGAGGCCCCTAAGACGGCTCCAAGAGGGAGCCCAGACGAGGGACCAGAACGGACAGAACGGGCCGCTGTCGTCGTTCCCCGTCAGGGTCGGCGGCACCAGCCGCAAGGCCTTCGCAATCATGACGACGGGGCCGCAGCATCGCGCTCTCTGGGTCACCCACACTGCGCGCACAGCGAGCGCCCCTCGCGGTGCGCGACGCGCGGCTATCTCTGCGCCCTCGCTCCGCAGCCTGATAGGGACCACATATGTGTAGATACATGTAGAGCAACACAGTGATATAGACATAGACATGTGAACACACACGTGCTTACAATCATACAAACATACATACATGCATGCGTATACACATATATTACGTGCATACATTCACCCACACAACACACCTATAATTATGCATACATAATATTATATACGCATACATATATATATATATGCACATATATATATATGCGTACAAAATACGCACCACTATGAAATTACCCAGACATGCGTACATGTATACATACACACGCACAACACACTTCTAGATGCGCATAGTATGTAAATCGATATGTATATATATATGAGTACATGCATACATGCGTGCGTACATACATACAAACACACAACATACATACACACAACACATATGCAGACACCTGCCCACATTTACACATACGGACATACAGACACACGACACATAAGTACCTATATGCTCTCACAAACGGATATACACATACACATGAATCCATACAACCATACATACACACATACGTCGATATGCACATACATATATGTGTGTATGAACGTAGATACATACATACGTGCACACAACACCTCTATGCACACACCCATTTATATACATACGTGCATGCACACAGCACATGAATACACATACGCATATACACAGACATACAACCATACATGTACACATGCATGCATACACACAGCCCGTAAAACCTGTAACTATACAGACAAATGCGCATACATACATACACAACACGTGTATAACATGTACACATGCATGCATGTATGTGCGAACATACGCGCGTACACGCATACATGCACACACCATACATACACATACATACACAGTTACATTCACAAGTCAATATTTACAGACACGCAGCCCTCCTTTTAAACAAACACATGCACTTATACATGCATACTGGCATACACGCAGCACATACATGTACCGACTCGTATATGCAAAACATAAACGCAACACATCCACATGTCCACGCAAACATACACACAACATATAAATGTACACACCTATGTGCACATACACATACACACGTACAACCGCATACCACATATGTAGGTCTGCACAAACACGCATATATATACACATAGACATGCGTGCATGCACGCATACATGCATACATGCACACATGTATACACATCCGGATACACACACGTATTATCTTGTGTCTATACACGAAACATCGCACACATACATACACATGTACAAATATACACATACGTTTGTATGCATACACACATATCTATATATATATATATATATATATAAAAGTGCTCGCCCCCTGGCATCATACAATTTGCCTCGGCTTCGATGTTCCCCACGTTTTATCCAACTGTCCTCCCCCACATCTGCCCCCCGCTCTCCGTCGACCCTCCTCATCCTCTAACCCCCCGTCAGCGGAACAGTGCAACTTCGGGCTGAGGGCGGAGGGGCAGTGCAAGGCTTCGTTTAGCTTTCCCCCGCTGGATCCCAGCCCCTCTCTACCCTCAGGAGGGGGATGCTGAGGAAGAAATGGGGAAGGGGAAGAAGGAATAACTATATCAAATGAGCGAGGAGGGCAAGGAGCTAGGTAATACGACTGCGATCGCGACGATGGTGACGATGACGATGATGACGATGGTGACGATGATGATGGTGACGATGATGATGATGATGATGATGATGACGATGATGATGACGATAGTGACGATGACGATGAGGAGGAAGAGTCCTTAATGAACAAATTCCGAATAAGCAATCCGTAATCATGTGGTTCTGATTAAGGAACCCGTTCACTAGAGATTGTTACACAAGGAATCCTTCATGAGGAATCTGAGCTAAGGAAGCCTTTAACAAGGAGTATTTGCCAAGGAACCCTTTACGAAGGAATAGTTCCGAAAGATCCCTCGGTAAACAGTCGTTACCGAGAAATCCTGAAATCAGGACCCTGAACGGAGAAATCCGTAGCAAAAGGACCCCCCGAATTAGGAATCCTAAGTGACCGAGCCCTTTCTGAAGGAATCTTGATTCAGGAATCCTTACTGAGGAACCCTACGTAAGGAATCGGTCATCGAGCAATAGACGTACCATTCATAACGAATCCGAATAACGGTGTCCTTAGTAAGGTATCGTAAGGTGTCCTTAGTAAGGTATCGCGAATCCTTAATAAAGGTGTCCGTAGTACTCATAGGCGTACCCCGGAATATGTACCAAGGTGTCCTTAGTAAGGGATCGTCACCACGGGAATCTCACTATGGAGCCCTTGCTACGGAAGCTTTTGTTTTGTCATATAAACAACATTGACAAAGGAATCCAGAAGAAACAACCTGAACAGAAAACACGGAATCGAACATTTCTAGTAGAGAGCCCGTCGTAAGGAATCTTGCATAATAAACATTGACCCAAGAACCTTTGGCAAAAATATGTACTAAGGAATCCGTGCTATATGGCGTACTTAACAAAGAACCCCTAATAAGAAATCTCAATGCAGAAATCCTTAACAAGGAAACTTTAATACGGACTCCTCCAGAAGAAATCAAAACTTAAGAACCTTGCATGCATGATCCGTACTAAGGAATCCACTTATACGGAACACTCACTAATCAGTCCTTCGTAACGAATATGGATTAAGGCATCCTTAACCCCTGGAATAAGGAATCTGTCCCCTGGCATATTTCTGGCGGAATCCTTTTGGAAAATCTACATTTAGGAGCTCAAACAAAAAACGCATAAATATTTCTTTGCTGGGGAAGTATTGGCGACGGAATCCTGTACAAAGAATGCCCACGTGAAAAACATGAACAAAGAACCCGATGTGATAAAAATGTAACAAGGAACCGCCAAGGAATCCCTCACAAGGAATCACAGTCAAAGAACCCTGACTAATGAATAGGTATTAAGGAATCATTGCCAAATAGCCTGCGTTAGCGAATCCTGACAGAGGGGTCTTCAAGAATGAGTCCTTCACACGGAATCTGAACACCGGACCCCCTGATGGCCAGGCGTCCCCACCCTCGCTTCAAGAAAACGCCGTGTATGGTTGTGTTTGTTGTTGTTTTGGCTTGGGATGGGTGCTGCGAGGGAGGCCACGGGGAGCACTGGGGCCTGCAAAAAAATGTTTCGGGGGCTTACAAAGCCAAAACAACCAAGCAATACATACATATATGTGTATATATACACATATATATATATAACATATATCTATATATATGTACACATATATATACATATATATATACATATATATATTTATATATATGTATATATCGAAACCAATTGCCCTAGCCAGCCCAACCAGCCAGCCCAACCAACCAGCCACCCAAACAACTCAACCGGCTCAACCAGCCCAACCAACCACCCCGCAAACCCAGCCAACCCGCCACCCCGCCAACCCGCCTCCCCCCGCCGCCTGCCCTCCGTTACCGTCGAGAGGAGGGGGAAGTGTTTCTTACAAGCGAAAACCACAAAAATCACCCTCCCAGGGTCCGGCGGGTCAGCGGGGGGAGGGGAAATCGCACCGTACTATGCGGGAGGGGGTTTCTCGCCCGAGGTGCCCGGGGACGATTTGGGGGCTCAAGTGCGACACTGTCGTCATTTGATTACCTTCACCGCGCTCCCCTTCTCAACGGAAAGGCTCCCATCCGTGAAACTGTCGTCATTTTTCAGCTCCCGCGAGAGGCTTCTTAGAGGCCCCCAGAGGCTCCAGGAGGGCCCATGGCGGCCTCGGGAGTGCCTAGGAGATCTCTGGAGGGCCCCAGGAGGACCCACTCTGTACCGCGCCCCCCTTCTCAACGGAAAGGCCCCCATGCGTGAAATTGTTTTCATCATTCCGACCCCGCGAGAGGGTTCTGAGAGGGCCCACGGAGGCTCCAGGAGGGCCCATGGCGGCCCCGGGAGGGCCCACGAAATCTCAAGAGCCCCCCGGAGGACCCATTTTGAATTACACTCAGGCAGCTCCAAAGCCCAGGAGGCTCCAAGAGGCCCCAAGAGGCCCCGAAGAGCCCAAACAGGCCACAGGACCCCCAGCACGCTCTAGGAGAGCCAAGGCGACACCAAGAGGCTCCAGGACGGGCGTCATTCCCTCTCCTCCTCCTGCTCGTCGTCGTCATCCTTCTCCTCATCCGTCCTGCTTTTAATCCTTCCTCCCCCTCTTCCTCCTCCTTCTCCTCCTCTTTCTCCTCCTCCTCCGCCTCCTCCTCCTCCTCCGCCTCTTCCTCCTCCTCCTCCTACCTCATCCGTAGCCTCGATGGCTCCGATAGCGCCGTGCGCGAGATCCGCCTCCTCCCCATCCGTCCTCCTCCCTCCTCCCTCCTCCTTCCCTCCTCCCTCCTCCCTCCTCCCCTCTCTCGGGAGCGTCACAAAGAGGCCCTTCCGAGGAGAATTTCACGACAACAAGGGCGCCGACACGATGTTCGGGGCATTTTTCTGACCATCTGCGAGCCTGGCGCAAGCACACGAGTGGAGGAGGAGACACCACGACGCTCCACGGAGTAAACTGCACCCAGTTGGTTTCTACCCCCGTGAGGGGCGCTACAGGGTGTGCGTGTACATCTATATATATATATATATATATATATATACGTAACTACACGTATATCTACGTAAATACACGTGTACAGCCAAAACAACAAAGCAATCCATATATATAGAGAGAGAGAGAGACATACATACATACATATATATATACATATACATATATACATATATATATATACACATAAATATATATGCATGCGAGTGTTAAGTCGGGCCTGTCCCCCATACAGGTGGATGTTCGACTGATTTGTTTTATTTATTTTCTAATAAAATTAAAAAACGGCCCAAACAAAAATCAAAAACAATTCAAAAATAATCTGGGGACTATTCTTTCATTATTTGTTGACCTTTTTGAATATTTGTTTGGGTATGGGGGGACACGCCCGACTGAAAGGCGAGTGGCCCGGACCTCCTCCGAGGCGTCGTTCGTCCGAAGCCGCGGCGCGCCCCGCCCGAGCCGCGGCGGGGCGCGCGCGGGGCGGCGCGCGCGGCTCGCGCCAGGCGGCGGCGGCCGCGCGGCAGCCGAGCCCGTGGCTCGCCCTGCCCGTCGTCCCCGTCCCCGTCCTGGAAGGCGTCCTCGCCCTCGTCGCCGGAGCAGTCCTGCTTCGGGGATGGACAGACCGTCGGGCGAAAGGGGGGGATAGCAAGGGGGGGGGTTGAGAATCAGCTCACGTAGCTGCTTTTACCGGCGCCTCCTGGTGCCGGCGGCGGCTATGTATCAAGGCGTGGGCCCCTCGATGAGGCCGAAACCAGCTGCATGCAGCAAATTCCGCACCCCCCCCCTTTCCCAATGCCCCCCTGTCGTCCTGCCCGAATGGATTCGTCGGAGATTCGTAAGCGTCGGGCTCGGGTGGCGCGGGTTGGCCCGACGGTCCACTGACGGGGTCATCACGAGGAGGACGAGACCCAGTCTGAAATTTGGCACGGGTTCTCGCCGCGAACGCCCCTACGAACACCAGACCACCAAAATCCAGGGCCCTCTCGCCAAGAAGCGCAGGCCAACCCGAGCTCTGGCGCACTCGAGTCTTACGTTTCACTGTGCTCCGCAGAGGAGTGGAAGCGTTCGGAGGCACCACCAGGGAGGAGGCCCACTGAGGGCCGCGGGGACGTGGGCGCCCAGGGGGCCGCGGATCGGCCGACAAGCCTTGCCGGCAGAGCCCGGAGTCCGCCAGAGCAGTCCTGCCACCTCTTGTAGTGTCGGCAGGCTCAGGCAAGTCTGCCTGCATGGCATGCCCCCCGCCCCCGCCACCCCCCTCCTCCGCCTTTTCGCGCCGCGCTGGGCCAAGACGGCCCTCTGCAAGCAGACTTGCCAGGATACAACATAGAACGCCCTCTTGCCCTCTGCCCCCTTGCTGCTTCCGCCTCTCGCCAGGGGGGCCCAGAACGGCAGGACAAGCAACTCCTGGGAGGTCCTCGTGGGAACGACTGAGGGCTACTTAGCCCGACGAGGGGGCTACTGAACAGGAATAGCTCAGATTCATCCTGGGATCGAGCCCGACTGAGCTGTTAATAAAGCCCGCCCTCGTCGGGGGAACGTAGAAAGGCAATCCATGACGGCATGAGAAGTGCCTTGTTGATGTGCTGTGTGTCTCCTGGAAGGTCTTATCTGGACCTTCGAGGCATTCCTCGACCTGACTTGTCCCACCGCGAACATCGGTGTACTTCGACGCTGGCCCTGCAGCTCGCGCGCGTGCCGTTAGCACCTCGAGCCACGTGGAAAAATAATGTGCCCATCGATCAGAAGCGGGGCCCTGGTGTCAGAAGAGGGGCTGGGCCAGACGAGCGACGATCAAAAGCGGGTCTTACGCGAGATGGCGTAGCGACCTTATGCGGTCGCTTACGCGGGCCGCCGGCGCGGCACGCTTCATCGGAGACCAGGGCGCTCATGCGCGAGCTTGCGCGGGCAGCTTACGCGCAGATGTCGGCGCAAGCGACCCTGTTCTTCTGCGTCGCTCAGATGAGGCACTGGGCCGCCAAAGCGGGCCACGGAAGAGAAGGGCCAGAGGGCTGCGACAGGAGGAAACTCGCTCCGGACGGCGCCTGCCGGAAGGACATGTCGGCTGGGCCTCCTGCTGGGCCCGGCCCCTTGAACCCCCCCCCCCGACCCACACACCCCTTTCTGGCAGGATCGTCTCCCGACGACGCCGGCGCTGACTTCTGACGCCGCGTGGATCGTGCCAGCGGCTCCGCGATCGCGCAGGATCGTCCGGTGCTGCCCGAGGCGGGGCCGCTGGCGGCGCTCAGAACCTGGAAGGCCCGCGCTGGGGTCGCCCCCCCCGCAGCGGCGCGGCACGGGCCCCTGCCGTATGCAATGCTGGTGGGGGCCAGAGCGCCGGGGAGGAGGCGGAGGAGGAGGAGGAGGAGGAGGAGGAGGAGGAGGACCACGAATGGCGTTCTGGCACGATCCAGGACCGTCAGAACTCAACAGCCAGGTTGATCCGTGGCGTTGGAATCCCGAGAACAATGTTTTGGCATGCGTCAGGTCTTCAAACGGTTGTCTTCCAACGAGGCAATTCCGTCTATGAAATTGAACCGTTGTAGGGGCCTATAAAAAAGGGAGCTTGGAGGGACGGTGTTCCATGATGGCCCTTGGGTTCACACTGGTCATCCTCCTCCTCCTCCTCCTCCTCCTCCTCCTCCTCCTCCTCCTCCCCCTCCCCCTCCATGTTCTCCTCCTTTTGCTCCTCCTCCTCCTCTTCCATGTCCTCCTTCATCCTCCTCCTCTTTGAAAGATAACAACGACCCCCTCTTTTGCGTCTACACCACCCTGATCACCTCAACTCTCCTAGGCATCGTTTCTGGACGGGCTGAGGGGGACACGCGAAGCGTCAACAAATTCGTCCAAATGACGACAGGATCCGACGAAATCGGGACGAACACCCCCAAACCGCAAGGAATTCGGATTACCCTCTGAGACTCCTACGAAAGACCACACAGGCGCGATCACCGAGTCGGTGGCGGCCAAGCGGGGCAGGCCAGACCGTTGCCCGCACCAGCGGCGCCGAGCGAGTGGGCTGGCAGCTGAGCAGATGGAGCGAATCGGAGGGGGTCGGGGAGGTGGAGCGGGAACGGGAGATGGAAGGGGAATGGGAGGGGGACGGGGTGGCGCTTCGGGAGAAGAGGGGAGCTGAGGGTGGGGGGCGAAACGTTGCGTAGGGTGCCCGAATATATATATATATATATATATATATATATATATGTATATGTGGATCATCAGAGAGCCGGGGAGATGAGAGGAGAGAGCGCAATATTTCGGGCGACGAGTCCGTCCGCAGGCAGGGCTACAAGCGCCCGTTTCCCGCGCCTCTTTGGCGGGAGGGGCCGCTTGTAGAAACGGGGGCAACGACAAACTTCCCCCCTGGCGCCGTCGGAAGGACTTCGTCTGGAAAACAAAACAGGGCGTGGCGACTCGGGAATAACCCTCCCAATCTGCGCGCCCACGGCGGAGGAAGGCCGGTCGCCCCCGCAGAGATAGCTGTGCAGAAGTTGAAGTGTCCAAGCCGTGCAGCGGGCCTTGCCCTTGGCGCGCTGAAGCCATGACGTGGCATTATAATCGATGTGCCCTGCCGCGCGGCCGCCACCACGCCGAGGTCGTGGCGGGTAGCGGGTACGAGGTGAATGGAGACTCGGCGTTGGGACGCTCTCGGCATGTGGGTAAAGAAGCCCAGCGGCAGATTTTGTCGCGGAAGGGGGGTGCCCCACCCGTCGAGCATCGTGCCGAAGGAAGGCCATCTCCATTCCAGCTGGACAACAGTGAAGGTGAGAGGAGAGCTGGGGTGGGAGGGCTGCTCTTGGACCAAATCACGTCGATTCACCAAACAAGACCAACCATCTTTGTCCGTGGGTAAAACGCCAACGATTCCATGACGAAGGGCTTCCATGGCAATCTTGTGGACACCTGTTGTGTTCGCGACCACGTGCCGCCTCCTCACGAAGCGGCCTCTGGCCACCCGGCGTGCCTGCCAGATGCTTGAGGCAACGAAACTCAACGCTTGTTCTTGCTTCTCCGGAAGGGGGTGAGGGCAACTGCTCACTACGCGGTGTCACAAGCGGAAACGCCACCAAGGATTGTCGTCTTCAACGTCTCCAAAGTAGCATTTCCAACGGCCACGGTGATACCAATTAGACAAAGCCTGGCCTGTTGAGGAGAAGTTTGGTGTTCGCGGGGGTCTTAATACGTGCTTTCGATTTAAAGACAAAAACACATACTCTACTGGCCAGGTGATCTCGTTCACCTCCGGGCGGAAACAAGACTCCGAAACAGCACTCCAAACGTAATTAACTATTCGCAAGCCCATCTTCCCGCGCTGCAGTAGCAGCTTGAACTCTGGGATGGGCATGCCTTTCACCATCGACCAGAAGAACGCCTCAGCGCCTGCATTTCCGCAGCCACGACCTCTCGAAGGCTTGGATCCTCTGCCGCCTCCGGGACCCTCTGGACGCGGGGGCGTTCAGCCCTTGCCCTTGCTCTTGCCTGTGCTCGTGTTTTTGCCTTTCCCTTTGGCCTTGCCCTTGTCCTTCACCCTCTGCGTGCCTGTGTCCTGGTTGCTCTTGTATTTGCCTTGTCCTTTCTTGCCTTTGCCGTTTCCGTTTCCTTTGCCTTTGCCCTTTTCTTTGCCTCCTCGTGGCTTCCCCGCCGCGGCCCGCGGGGACGTCTCATGTTTTTAGGACCTCCTCGACTTTGTCCGTAACGATTTTCTCTTCTTTCAGCTTGATCAGAACCTGGGGGGGCAGATGCACGCCGGCTTCCCTTGCCAGCTCTTCCAAGGCCTTGGAGTTGGCGTGTTGGTTATTGTTATTTCCATTTCCTTTCCCCAGCCTGTCATAGATCATTTGCGCACTTGTCATATTTCGAATTCTTTTGGAAATTTCGACACCAGCTCGTCGATGAAGTCTTTTTTGTGCTTCATCTTGATCTCCTGGGTTTCTTGTTGAGCTGGTCGGTCTCCAAACCCTTGTCCACGATCGCCTTGTAGATACTCGTGGCGTGGGTCTCCAGCTCGATCGACGACATGCCGGCCAGAGCCATGTCTTCGTAAGTTCCAACCTTCCTTCTGCTGACGGTCGTGGGCAACACAAATATCCACAACATTAGACCTTTTTGTGCACTGGGGACGCCTTTGGCGCTGAGCCTCCAGGATTGTGATATCTGGCGTTTTTTTGTTCTGGATCTTGACAAAGAACTTGTGCACCACCTCTTTTGCCTCCCGTATCGTTGCCCCCTCCTGGAGCTTCAGATGAAAATCTTCGCAAGCCTCGAGTCTCACTGAATCCAACAAATCGGTTTCAAAATGGATTGCAACTTGGCGAATGCCCCGCCCTTCCAGCACGCAGCGAGTGTCACATTCAACCAAAACCTTATACACTTCACGAGCGGTCTCCAAGCTTTTGTTGGTGGTCTGAAGACTTTGGATTTTAGCCGAGAGCCCCGACGACATCCGTTTGATGTGTTTTCCAAGCTCGGGGTGCACTCTGTGGCCCAGGCACTGCTCAACCATCTGCCAGATGTCCTGGAACAGGTGCGGGGGGGGCCCATGCGCCTGCCGGACTCTGAGGACGGTCTTGTCCACGGGCGCGGAGCTCGAACCTAGCCTGGCTCCTGCTCCTTCACGGCTCGGCACGGGTCGATGCCGCATCCGCCTGAAGTAATTGTCGCCTGCCGCGCGCCCTCTCAAGGCCCAGGGGTCTCGAGAGTGCACCTCCTCCGAGGGAAGCGCTTTGCTTGGCAACTGAGTCGCCCATACCGCTAGGAAGATGAGAGTAACGGGAACAAGTATAAGAGAGCGAATACGATTCTCAAATCAGGTACGTTTTCTGGCACTGCAGGACTCAAGCGACTCTGTACGTAGCCTCGACGCTTGCGCGCTTAGTGCCAAAACGCTACAGAGGCGATGACATGAATGAATGGCCTATGAATTCTAGCACCTTTCGCCAAGGGACAACGCGGACAATTCGGACAAGTAGGACAGCCAGGACAATCAAGACAACTAGCACAATTAGGACAAGTCGGGCAATGATGACAATTTGGATAAGTATGGTAATTAGGACAAGCAGGACAATTAGGACAATTAGAGGAAGAGCTATCCAGGGAGATGGGGAGAGGCGGGGCAGAACGGGAGAAGGGGTGAGGGGCCAGGAGGCAGTGATGCGGAGGATGAGCGCGAACTGGGGAGAGGAGGGGAGAGAAAGGTGCAACGGCAGGAAACACACTGCCGAGAGGATGCTGCAGACAAGGGCCGCAGAGCGGCACCCCGAAATCCCTGCCCAATGGTGACCCGTTGCAGGCAGGGTGAGGCAAGCGCTCATCCTCATCCTCATCGCCATCACACTCCTCCACCTCCTCCTCCTCCTCCTCCTCATCCTCATCCTCACCCTCCTCCTCTCGCGACGGCCTCTTCGATGGCTGCCTTGTCCACGGCAAGCATCGGCCTCGGGACGCAATGCGAAGCTGGGAACCTATGCCTTCGCCTGCTGATCTCAACCTGCCCTCATCCTGAGGGGAAGGGCGGAAAAGACAAGGAGGGAGAGGATGAGGAGGAGAAGACGTAGGAGGACCACGATAGGGGATGGGAAGCGAGAGGAGGTAAAGGGGGGAGGACGGCAGAGGAGAAAGAAAGAGATGGGATTCTGGGTAATTCGCCAGCCCATCGGGCTAACGGCATGTCAGAATTCCAGGTGGTAAGTTCAAGCGACCTGTGGCTGTCCATTCGCCCGTGCGCAGGGCGGCCCCTGGGTGCCCACCCGGAAGAAAGAGTATCCCGGCAGTGCTCCGGGCAGCCCACGGAAGGCGGCCCGCGTGACCCGCACCACGGCCCGGAGGTCACCCCGAGAAGCCCCCGCGAGAGCCCCAGGAACCGCCGGAAGAGCGAACCTCTTGCCTCGAGCCTCGAACTTCGAACCAACACAGGAGGACTCCAAACAACACGCCAGCACCAGCCCTGGCCAGGCCCATCCTGGGCCGTGGGCTGGTGTCCAGGCCCTCCCGGCCTAGGCCTGGAGGTCTATACACCAGTCCAGGGCCCAGGATGGACCTGGCCGGGACTGGTGGTGGTGCAGTAGTCGTCGTTTACTTTGTGCGTGCGTACGCCTGGGATTGCGTTGGAGTGCGAGCCAGTGCTAAATGCACCACACACGCGGCAGAACACGATGGGACGTCCCGATCATACTGCATTGCATCGTGCGTCGGGCAAACAAAAAATCTACCACGATTTACAAGCGGCATTGGGCAGCGCAGCGCACAGGGAGCATGCCCATATTTTATCATCGCACGTCTTGTAACATGACCTCTTCGAAAGAACATTGTTGCATTGTTCTAGCCAGGTGCGGAAAAACATATACTAGTGCGAAACAGTGCCACAATGCACCTAGAACAAGGAGTAGCAATGAGTAGCGGTCAGGCAAGATGGAACAGAGAGCGATAGAGTACGCTTCAGTGGATGCTGAATCAATCGAGTGCTCAAGCAGCAGGAGTGGTGACCATGGTGGACGAGCGTGAGCGCATCAATCGCTTCGTCATCCAACACAGGCCCTGCGCGCAGACTACGAGCCCCTTCCGCGCCCTCCGCCGCGGCCTCCGCCGTCGCCGCCGCCCCTCCCGGTGAAGCCTCCGCCCTTTCCGCCGCCCTTCCCCTTTCCGCCGCCCTTCTTGCCCTTGTCCTTGCCTTTGCCCTTGCCTTTGCCCTTCTTGCCCTTGCCGCCGTCCTTGCCCTTCTTCGAGATGGTAGGCTGCGGCAGGAAGCGGGCCATCGGGAGGAGCTTCTGGTTGTCAATGTAAAACTTTTTCCCCTCCTTGAACGACTCTGCCTTCATCCCCTCCTCCATCTTTACTGAGAAGAAGAAATGGTTAATAGGTCCGAAGATTTCGTCAACCTTTCCGATCTGTTCCTTGTTCTCTAAGAAGATCCGGGCGTTGAAGTGCGGAACCCTGTTGTTGGTACACTTACAGACCAATTCGTCCTCGCACGGGTGCATTGCCTCCCCGACCTCCTCGATCTCGTCGGGAGGGCCCTCGTCGATGGGTGCCTTGCCCTTGCCCTTGCCCTTGCCCTTCCCCTTGCCGCCCTTCCCCATGGCGCGAAGCGAACGAGGCGGCCAGATACCTGGGCGCGCGGTTAGCGATTACCGCCTACTGCTTAGCCGAAACTCGGCAGAATAACATCGACCCAGACAGGCCCAGCCCCAACGAGCCACGGCCAACTCGAGCCACGATGGCTGCGGCGCACCGGGTGTTGTTTTTGGCGAAGCGCGTTCATAACAGAGACGGCACTTTCCAGACGCTGGAATCGGGATTGGCTCGCGCAAGTCCGCTCGGGAAGTGGGTGCCCGCTCGCGAGGGTAGGCCTCAGGCTGAGCTGGCAGCCGCGAGGCCCAAGGAGGTACTGGTACCTCCTGCCGTCTCCCCTGTCCCCCTCGATCCCCCCTCTCCCAAGCCTCAATCCCCTCCCCCTTTCCCTCCTCCCCCAACGTCCCTCCCCTACACATGATTCCTCCCCGTTCTTATTCCTTGATATCATGCACGCACGCTCTGCCACCTATCAGGCTGGTAGCCGTCCAAGGCGAAAGTGGAGGGCCCATCCTACAAGTTTGAAGCGAGGCAAATCGAAGTTTTCCCCTCTCAACATACATGTTCTGCCATCGACTGTGCAGAATGCGTAGCAGGAGCGGGACAGGCCAGACGTCACACGCGTGACAGGGCGGAACGCCGCTTTCGCCTAGGCGCTACATTACTTGTTCCCTGGGAATCCCTACAGGCCCTTCAAGGCTGAGATTGTCTTGGGCCTTCTTCCCCTTTGGGAAAAGGCTGATCACTGCTCCTTCAGAATACGCACCACCTCCCCCACACTTCGGGCCCGCTACCCCGTGCCAGTGCGGGCCCCCCCCGACCCCCACTTCGTCACAAAAACGATACGACATGCACGTTGCGGCAATGTCTGGATCATGTTCGGGCGCCCCGCTCAGACCACAAAGCGTAGAGAACGTATCCTACAAGCCACAACTTGCACAACGAAGCCTACAAGCCACACCAAATTGCACCGCATACCGCAAACATTGCATTGGACGAGGGTTGCGCCACATACGCTGCACCACAAAGCTCGCGCCCCATAGATTCTCCGGTCTAAAAAATACTAGACCCTACCCCCCCTCGGCGTTCGCCGCCCCCCTTTTTCGGGAATGTGAATCATGAAGGATCATGGCCACATGTCCATCCGAACTACGACTTCACACTATCCCCGGGAACCGGTATCGCTCCCCCTGAGGTTCCCTGGAGAAAAAAAAACAAATGAAAACAAAAAAAAACGGTACGCGGGGACATCTTTTGTTCTAACGTAGCACTTTTTTTCACGAATCCCTTTGGCGAAAAATGACGAAGTGCACACGCGCGCGTCGTCGCGCGCGCAGGCCGAGATCCTTCAAAAACCTTCGGTGCCGGAAGGATTTCGCTATCGAGCTTTCAAAAACATACAAAAACACAGGGTTTCGCAACACTGACTTGCTAAAGAAGCTTAACAATAGGTTTTTCAATATTTTCACAAAATGCTACCAAACGGGCTTCGCGCACGCGCATGTCAAAATCTGTCGAACGCCCTTGCGCGTGTGCCGTCCCGAGAACCCTCTGCAAAAGAAAACGAAGTGCAGACGCGCGCGTCGTCGCGCGCGTACGCCGAAATCCTTCAACACCCATCGGTTTCGGAAAGATGTCAACATCATGTGTCCAAAAAACCTACGAAAACCAACGGTTTCGCAACACGGATTCTCAACAAACGCGCGCGCGCGCGCTCTTGCGTCGTCGTCGTCGCCGTCCTCCCTCCTCCCGCGTCGTCGTCGTCGTCGCCTACGTCGGCCTCTGTCCTTCCTCGTGTTCATCGTCGTCGTCGTCCTCTTTGGCGTCGTGGTCGTTTCCGTCGTCGTTGTCGCCGTGGTCGTCCTTCCTCCTCCTCCCTCGTCGTCGTCGTCGTCGTCCGTCGTCGGCGTCTCGTCGTCGTCCCTCCTATTTCGTCGCCGTCGTCGTGGTCGTCGTCGTCGTCGTTGTCGTCGTCGTCGTCTTCCCTCCTCCCTCGTCGTTGTCGTCGTCGGCGTCACCGTCCTTCCTCCTTCTTCGTCGTTCGCGTCGTCGCCGTCCTCCGTCCTCCCTCGTCGTTGTCGTCGTTGTCGCTGTCCTCCCTCCTTCCTCGTCGTCGTCTTCGTTGGCGACGTCGTCGTCGTCTTCGTCGTCGTCGGCGTCGGCGACGTCGTCTTCGTCGTCGTCGACGTCGGCGTCGTCGTCGTCGCCACCATCGTCGTCGTCGTCGGCGTCGTTGACGTCATCGTCGTCGTCGTCGTCGGTGTCGTCGTTGTTGTCGCCGTCGGCGTCGTCATCGTCGTCGTCGTTGTCATCGTCGTCGTCGTCGTCGGCGTCGGCGTCGTCGTCGTCGTCGGTGTCGTCGTCGTCGTTGTCGGCGTCGTCGAAGTCGTTGGAGACGTCGTCGGTGTCGTCGTAGTCGTTGTCGGCGGCCTTGTCGTCGCCGTTGTCGCTGTTGTCGTCGCCGTTGTCGCTGTTGTCGTCGGCGTCGCTGTCGTTGCCAAGTGCCAGGTGGTACCCACCGTCACGGTCTTAAGAGATTTTGCAAACCAAGTTGCGGGTGGGTGGGTGGGATGTTTGCAAGAGCGCGGGATGTGTCAACTCGTTTGTTAAAATCAATTGCACCACATAGCTTCCGCAACGTATCCTGCACGACATGGACGACGAATCGGGAAGGGGTCGAACGTCTAGGTTCCGACGCTGGAAGCTATACCACCACGACCACATACGGCAATCACAAGGAGCCCGCGCCAAAGCCATGCGTAAAACCGTTTGCAGCCATATTGCACATGCGGCTTCGAGGACGGAGCGCCCGCACCATCTTTTTCCACTCCTGCGGCAAGCTAAAATGCTGCAGCATCAACGAGTACATGTCCCTGTCTTTTCGCACTGCACGCTACAAACGCGCACTCTCAGAAGGGTCCGACAGGCCCACGATTAGCACTGACTGAAAACAAAAATTGTGCGTCATTGCGGCTGCATTGGCCCTGGACGGGCCACGCGGAACCGACTACTCTCACGATCGCAACTTCCTCGGGACCGCCTTGGCCTTCGCGCCCGCTGAAGGCCCGGAGGGAGAGGCAGCGGCCGACTGCGGCGGCTGATCGGCCTCCTCGTCCTCCATGCCCTCGTCGACCGACGGGGGCAGGAAGTCACGGCGCGCCTTGAACCCGCGGATCACCATCCTGATGAACCTCACGCGCTGCCCCTCGTAGTCCGCCAGCTCCTGGTTTCCCCGCTCGCCCACGTTCTCGATCACCTGAGGCAACTCCTGATCGCCCGGTATCTTGGATGGGATGACGCTCCACGCGTCCGAGTCCGACTGGTCTGGCACGCCGCTGCACGAGTGCTCTGCCGGCATGCATCGGCCCACGATCACGCGCACCATGCCCCAGCGCCTCCGGGTCCTTGCCGCCCAGCACCGCGCGATGCGCTGTCCAGGTTCTGCATGTGCATCAGCGCCGCGTCCTCGATTATCGCCGCCGCCCCGATGGCGATGTGCCCCGCCACCTTGCTCGAGGTTAGCGCCACTTGGTTTCGCAGCTGCTTGGTCTCGGGATATCCCAAGATGTTCATGCTGGTCACGGCCTTGCATGTTGTCCTGGAGTGGCGGACTGGTTCCGCCTGGGCACTCTCGAACAGGCCCCTGAGCTCGTCTTCCTGCAGGTGGCTCTCGAACTGGACCATAGACGGACGCAGGTGGCGTCGACTGACGGCCGGCTTGCTCCGCGGCGGGCGCGCTCGCGAGCTGCTGCTTCCACGAATGCTGGCTCGTCGGCAAATTTATATTTTCCGCTTGTCATGGTCGCTGTCAAAACATCGGCTCGCTCGGCTTTGTATCTGGTCAATCGTAGATCTGCACCCTGAAGGGCTGGAGGCGCCAGACGATCACTTACACCGAGTCGCTTCGCGCTCTCCTTAGCGACGACCAGGTCGACCGCCGCCGGTTGCCCGGACGTATTCCAGCACCCCCGCAGCCGACGACTTGATCGCACAACGACCTGCAGTCCGCGACGGCAACGTGGGCCAACCACGGAAGACGCGGGCCAACCATGGAAGATACTCGGACCGACGACGTGGACAGAAATCACCGTCGCTGCCCTCGAAGATGCGGCGCGAAATTCACTCGATATGTTTCAAGACGCCCAGCTGGGCCCGGGCCTCGGCAGCGAGGGTCGAGGACGCGACGCGGCGGAGGCGATGGCTCTTCCAGACTAGCGGGCTCCAGGGGCACAGCTCGTTTCGCATCGCGTTCTCGACCGTCGCGGCGATGGCGGAGCCTGCCCGGGCCCCGGGTTTCGGGGCGTCTTAGTTCGAAGCGTCGGCGCGCGCGATAACTCGAAGCCGTTCGATCGGCGTCGGTGTGATCTTCCAAGACAGGTTTGTAAACTGCTGGGCCCTCCTCGCGATCGCGTTCCCGCGCCTCGCCCCCCCCCGCCGTCGGCTCGGGCATGCGCCGTTGGCTCGTGGAGACCTGGGCTGCTAGATCAGGCCTGGATTCCCGAGCTATACAGTCGCCGCCCCCAGCACCGCACGAAAGTTCGCGATCTCATTATCGGTCGCTGGGATCTCGGAAGGGGCGCGGGGCCTTGTGCCGGCATCGACGTCTCCGATATGAACCTGGGGTCCGCGCGAGGCCAACAGCTGGAAGGCCGCGGTTTTCCCGGTCTGCAAGAGGGTCGGAGCGGAGGCCCTGTTCTCTCGCGCGCGAGCTGCACCGGGTCGGGGCCCATGCAGCCCCGACTGCACAAGCGCACCTTGACCGCCTCCGTCTCGGAATCGTCGATCTCGCACGACAAGATCGCCCGGCCGCCGACGATCCGCTCGGGACAGGCCCGCCGGATTGCATCCAACTCGACCCGAGACGTTGGTGCCGGCGCCTGTTTCTTGTGGAAGAGGTTGCCCACCTCCTTGCTGATGCTCCCGGCCAGTCCACTTCGGGCCCTTCCGATTGGGCTCGCGCCTGCCGCCTGCCAGCATCGAGCCCTCCAGCCCCGCGTCGACCTCAGAGTTCGCGCGCGCCGCGCGCGCAGCTCCTCCTCGCCCTCTACGGCGTCGGACACCGCGCTCGCCAACAGCGCGCTGACAACGTCCTCGGCCAGCCCGGGCACCTTCGTCTGAGGAGTTGGCAGCGGCTCCTCAGATTCGACCTTG